ATTAATTTGTAAAGAAATTAAACCAACACTATTGAATTTGAAACTTTTATTGCCTATTTGTTTTTTTGTCCATGTGCAAATAATATAGTGACAGCCAAGAGAGCATAAAATATAGTCATATTAGAATAGTGATGTAGGTAAATCTGCTTTCCTCTTGCTTTTTACAGGTGTGGATAACTGCACTATGTACAGGGCAGAATATTAGAATACTTGTAATGTTTCTTTTAGGCTGAAAAAGATTAAATGAAATAACATTTACTTGCATTGAACTTAAACATTTTAAATGATTAAGTATGATTGCATGAAGATTCATGGCATGTGTGCAAAACTTCAGTCTCTTTACACAGTTTAAATAAACCTACGTGGAAAAATTATAACTTAGATTGTAGCAGTACTGCAATTTGTTTCCCTTTAAAATGAGAGGATTACCCGCAATGTTGTAGAGCAGGTCTTCATTAACGAGATTAATCAAGCATGTCTAGCCCCGATTTAACAGCATATTTCTCAAAAAAATATGTGCATGGAGGGGAGAAGGAAAAATCAACTTATTTTTAGACTTTTTTTTTTCTAGATATCTTTCTTAGAGTTTCCATCCATGCTTGAGGAAATAAGTATATTTGATTTTATCCTTCTAAGCTATTTATCTAAACTGATTGTCAGGAGCTGTCCAGTCCTGGGGAATTTAGTGGATAAAATTAATTGTCAAAGCATATTGTCAATGAGAAAACTGAACATTTAATCAGTAATTTGAATGAATCATATTTAACGCAACTGACTTCACGTAAAAATGTTTTAAAGTAAAATGAAATCAGTATGGGAGATAGATAGATAGATATGTATCTTAAGAGAAGCAGCATGGAACTGACAGTCTAAAAAGGGTCAGGACTAGTGAAACTTGAGCAATATTGAGAGGCTCTGAAAAATTACCAGATTTTAGCGGTGCTAAAGTTAACAGCATGTTTCTCAAACAATATATATTCATAGAGAGAAGGAGAAAATGCCCTTACCTTGAGACTTTTTAAAATCATGGAAGAAGAAAGACAATTTTTAAATGGTAATTATCCTCTGAAACCAGAGAAGTTAACTGTCATACTAGGGAGGGCTAGCTCACAAAGCTGGCACGTGTTGGTGGGCTTGGAACTTGCAATTTTGTATGCATGAATGGTGTCCCTTAGATTGGTGTTCAGAGTTAAAAAAATCTTTCTTTAGATCATAAGGTCCTTTTTGTGACTGATAAAAGCTTCTAAAATGCTGAAAGTTTTATCTGAGAACTTCTTGGATCCATTTTCCTCAGAATTCCTGATACCTTTCTTCCCCCATCCCTTCCCTCAACATGCTAAAACCCTTGAAGAGTCCTTAGAAAGCTATCAGTTGTCAGTTGTTTCCTGCTATGCCATGTATGCATTGTGGATTTAAAAAAAAATAATCTCTGTTTCAATGAATGTTTCCTTTTTAAATTAAACAACAAGGGAACTAGGATCTCACATGATCTATGTTCTTTTTTTTATATACTTAATATTATATCCCCACTTACTGAGCTCCTTTCTGAATTTAAGTCTCAACATTTTTGTTACATATCAGTCTTTGCATCTGTCTCTTCATTTTTTGTCACCAGTAGTTGGACCCCTTCTACTTCTATTATCCCCTTTTAAGGTTGGATGAAACCAGAGTACACCATTGACTTGTATAGTTTTAGTATCCTTTATTATCCCATTCTTAATTCTGTCAACTTGTTCCTTTGGTCATTAACTAGACACAGTCGTATCTGTGGTTGACATCTGATCCCATTAAGTCAGTGGGAATCTTGCCTTTGGATCTGCACTTGTAATGAAATTTTACTTTGATATATTTTCCCCAAGTCATCAATCACAGCTAACTTGAAACCCAATGAGATGTACTTTTTTTTTCTTTTTAATATGCATTACTGACATTTCCCATGTGTTCCATTTCCCCATTAATCCTTCTTTTCATGCTTTGCAACTACCTGTTCTTCTTCCTATGTACAGGATGCTCACTGTACACCTTGAGTGGGGGGCTGAATATGATTGACAGAGAGACCAAATAGCAAGCCAACAGGTTTACTGGTATCAGTCCAGAAAAGTAGAAAGTTGGCTCCTACTAATTTCTTGGATGTGATATTTGAGCAGGGGCCCTCATAACTAGTCTCATCTCTGCTGGCTTACTCTTGCAAACTTTGATAGCACAACTTATTTAGTTATGCATAATATTTTGGTTTCTTATGATAAACATTAATTTAATAAACTCTTAAAAAAGGGGGACCTGCAATGAGAGTAGTGGCATCACTTGAATTCCTGGGTACACGATAGCCTTGAGGAGGGTGAGGAATGTTTGTCAGGATCCCTTACTTCCTTAAAAATAGTCTCTCTGTCTCTGAAGAAAAAAAAAAAAAAGGGAGAGAATGCTACATTCTGTCTACTGGCATTTAGCATAATGTGTTTCTTTTTTTTTTTTTTTTTTTTTTTTTTTTTTTTTTAACAAAAAATAAATGCCATTGTTGTTATGCAGGGAATAAAGCTGTACAACAGACATGGTTCTGCTTGTTTTGCAGTTTATGCAGTTTATTAGGCCCTTTTGTATCAGATAATCCTGTATTTAAATCTGCTCATCAGTATAGAAGTGTACAGCTTGTGATTTTTGTATGTTCATAGCTAGATTTTCCATGTTGTCACTATAGATTCAAGATTTTTCAAAGCCGGAAGCTTATTTAACATCCTGCTTATATTTGCACATGTGAATATATGATAACCATAATTCAGTGGAGATGGGTATTTGTACATAGTTAGAGAGAGAAATAGCATTATATGCTTTTACCATTATTAAAATACCTAAGCACAGAAGCATGGGTGACAGAGAGCAGTCTATAGCCCTTTACTTCTAAAAACTTGATGTTCAGAGGAATGTCTTTGATATTTTAATGTTACTTCATTGGGATGAAGGTCCCACATGACCTTCTCAAACAGATGGAAAAGTGTGGGTTATTGAAAACTACTGTAAGGTGGATAGACAACTGGTTCAATAGCTGCAAGCAAAAGGTAATTATAAATGGATCCATGTCAGAGTGGGAGGAGGTTCCAGGTGGTATCCCCACAAGAGTCTGTCCTGGGCCTAGTGCTTTTCAATGTGTTTATTAACGATTTGGAGGCCAGAATAGACAGATTTTTAGCATAATTGTAGATGACACAAAAATGGAAGAATGGGAAGAATTTCCAACACAATGGAGGATAGGTATATAATTCAGAAACATCCTGCCAGATTGAAAAACTGGGCTGTAATTAACAGGATGAAGTTCAGTGCTGACAAATGAACAGTGTTATATCTCAGGAAGAATAGGCAAAAACACAAATACATAATGGCTGGATGCGACCACTAGGAAAAATGAATCTTGGTGGATCACAGACTCAATGTGAGTGCAAAATGACACGTGTACAAAGGCAAATGTGATTTTTGTACTGCATCAATAGAAGCAATAGGTATAAGATGGGGGAGGTGATAGTGCCTCTTTACCTGGCACTGGTTAGGCTATATCTAAAGTATCGTGTACAGTTTTGGGCTCCGCATTTTAAAATGGACATGGAGAACCTAGAGAGGGTCCAAGCCATGAGAGCAGAAGTTGAAGGCCATATTCAGTTTGTGGCAAAGGGGATTAAAGAGGGATGTGATAGCAGTCTTCAAATACCCAAAGGGTTGCCATAAAGAAAAAGGAAAAACTTTTATCTGTTGCTGCAGAGAGCAGGACATGAACTTATAGTTTGAATTTGGAGTAAAATGGACTTAGATCAGGAAAAATGTCTTCACTGTTAGAAAAGTGAGGCAGTAGAATAGACTGCCTAGGGAAGTTGTAGACTCCATAATTGGAGGTATTCAAGAGGTTGGATAAGGATTGGTCAGGGATGATGATCTAGGCATAGCTTTGATAGGTATATCCCATGCTTTTGGGCTTTGTTGATTGCTACATGGGGCCAGCAAGAATTTTTTTTTTTTTATTTATTTTTTTGCCATCCTCGGAAGCATTGTGTGTTGGCTGCAGCTATGGCGGGGCTCTAACTGGGGTATGCCAGTGCTCCTGCTGGAACTAAAGCCTAGAGATTCATAGCTAGAGGGTCTTGTACCTCCACTCAGGGTCAGACAGGTTTTTTCGTATAGGGTCAGGAAGGAATTTTATCCCATGGCCAGTTTGGTATAAACTGTGGGAGTTTTTGCCTTCCTCTGCAGTGGAGAATGTCTCTCTCTTCCTTGGGTTTTTGGGCATATTTTCAATAATCCTTGCAGTAGCAGGACACTGCCATTGTCTTCTTGCTTTGCCTGTGTCAGGTTAGGGTGCTATGGCTTGTAGCTGTGTGACAGGTTGATTTTTATAGTTTTAGAAATTGGTTAGACAAGGATTTGCATGGGATGGTTTGCATAGGGATGACCCTTTCTTTGGCAGGAGGTTGGATTAGATCAGCTTTCAACAACCCAAAAGTGGGTGACAAGAATATATGAAAGGATCATGAACAAGCTTTAAAAATGGATCAACTAACTTTGAAAATGCATTCTCTTTTAAAGGATAAAAACATGGGAATCCTTGGGTTTTCTCTTGCAGACTGGCAGGGTTCCAGCCTGTAAGGAGCTGCTTGGGAACCCCCTGTCCCACATGGTGGGGGGCTGGGACCTGGGGGCAAGGGGCAGTGGGTTGGGAGTAGCGGGTACTGGTAGGGCCAGGGGCCTGTTTTCTACTTAAACTATTTACGTGGTTGGGACTGGCCATCATTCCTGGTACAAAAAGGGTTGAGGACAACTGGATTATATAACCTCCAGTGATTCCTGGCAGGCCTACTTTTCTACGATTCCCTATACACTCAATATTTTAAATAGTTCTGTGTATAGAGAATTTCAACTTGCTTATATTTTAAGAAACCAAAGCTGTTCCCTTTTAATACAGTATTCCCACAGTTTTCTGTATCAGTAATTCAAATACTTTTTATTTTAAAATATTTCAGGCTTAGAAGAAGAAACAGAAAGACTCGAAGATATGGAGTTCTGGACACTAACATAGAAAACATGGAATTGACACCCTTAGAACAAGATGACGACGATGATGATACAACGCTGTTTGATGCCAATCATCCTCGAAGGTTTGTAATAAAATTTTAACATGCTTTAGTTGCAACAGAAGCGGAGGAATGCTGATGGTCAAGCATCAAGCAACTTAATTACAAATTCAGAGGCACATTATGTAGTGGACATATTAATATTCAACTGAAGCTATTAGAATAGGTCAGTCAAATACACTTGAAGGTTGCATTTTAAGAAGTATAGTAAGTATTATGTGGTAAATATTACCCTCCTTTCAGTGCTGCAGTTTTTGGAGTGTCCATTGTTCTCGTCTTTGCATTTCCTTTCCACCTGCAGTTCCCAATAGCTTTCACTCCCTTCCCTATTTTGTCTGCTAAAATGATTGGCATTTAGTAATTAATAGTGACCCTTTCTTCTGTTTTGGAGAAGGCAGTTCATGGTATATGGAAATTTTGTTTGTGAGTTGTTTGAATTAATATGTAGACTTGGGAAAAACATGGTCATATTAACTGACATCTTCAATTCACATAGAAGCTTTCTGCTGTCATGAGAGCTAAAAAGATAATTTTTCATAAGAATTTTTTGGACATTTTAAACATCTGTTTGGACTTCACAAAATTGAAACAATGTCTCAGTTGAAACTTGCACACAAAAAAGGGATGCCTAGTTTCTGGCAACTTCTTTATTGAAGGAGGAGATGCTACGTGGCTGTGAAAATCTCATGACTTTTATTTGGTTGTCTTAAGCTTTGGTGCCTTTACTTATCTATATTTTATTTAGGTTTTCAGATTGAGTTCTTTCCCACTAAAGAACCATGTAATCCTGAATTTGCATAAGGCGCTTCTCAAACCTTGGTGAGATAACAAAAGTCAGAATTATAGGTGCCCATTCAAATTTAGTTTGTCAGAAATTGTAGAACAAAGTTTAATCCTATCACAGTCACGTTTAGGACACAAGGAGATTTAGCAACGCTGTTACAAAGCTAAATGTAAAACCTGTTCTCCAAAATGATAAGCAGGGGTCCTGTTTTTCTCTGATTTAAAAAAAATAAAATCCCCAATTTTTGGATTAAAAGAGGTAACCCAAAATCTACTTTTTTTTCTGCGATTAAAATGAAACAACACTAATATAGATGTATATAGTTTTGTTTCATTTTAATCATGGAAAAAAGTGGATTTTGGATTACTTTTTTTTATTCCAAAAATTGGGAATTTTTTTATCAGAGAAAACCAGGATCTCTGGTGATAAGGTAAATTTAAGCACTATGTTTGAGCTAATTGCCAGTAGTGACAGACTTTTTAAAGAGAATAAAACATTTTTTTTTCCTGAAACTCTCCCAAAAGAGAGCATATATTCAAATCAGTGTATACCAAGCAAATTAAAAGTGTTTGGTATGAAAATAACCAGTTTCCATTCTAATATTTTATTATCTGCCTCCTTTTGACTTATGGTTTTATCTTAGAAGTATTTGAAGCTTGTCCATAAGAACCATTGCTGACTGATATCTTAAAGCATTTTAAGAGATGTCCTGAGACCTAAAACAAACATGCAACGTCTTAAAAGTTATTTTGGAAAACCAAGGCTTCTGCATCCTTAAGTCTGTCTGTATGCTTTATTAGTTACCAGACTAAATACTGTTTTTCAGGTGTGACTTCTTATAGAAGACAAGGTTCTTTGGGTGAATCTGATATCTTTTATTAGACCAACTTAAATAGTTGGAAAACAATTATTAAGCAAGCTTTTGGGTTCCAAAACCGTTCATCAGGCTAAGGAAGTTTCAGCAGTTGGTGTGTGCTCTTCCTGGATGGAATGAAAAGTAAAGCAGCCAGGGGCTGGTCTGGTATGCATACAAGACAGGTAGTCAGTGAAAATGTGGATTGTTATATTCTTATAGCATTCATTTCATGTGGAGTGTCATGTGCTATTTATAGTGAAAATGCTCTGAATACTTGGGTAGTTGCAGGTGCCTTAGCTGTTGACTTCCCTTATCCGTTTGTATTTAGTTTGTCAAATCCAATGGAAAATACTGAATTTTAATATAAAAATTGACATGCAAACAGTGCTGAACATGCTTATAATAATTAAAATAAGGTGAAGTAATAATATTCTCAAAGCAGGCCTTACTTGTCACATTGATATATTCCTATATTTCTATTATTGCTGTTTTTACTGTTTGCAGCCTCTGTAGTCAGGACATAAAAGTAGCTAAGTCTTTCCCCTCCCTGCACGTCCTGGCCCCCCCCTCCCCGGCGCTTTAAAGACACAACTGTTATGACAGTATAGGATCCATTTCTACACTGGTTTTTGGTTTGTTTTTGGTTTGTTTGTTCTAGCTTTTAGTTTAGTAGGTGAATACTGTGTTAAGAACTCTACTTAGGTTTAGAAAACTTGTTAGAGCAGCACTGTTCTTACCAGGCAAGGATGCAAACACTGCTAAATAAAGAAGTTGTTACAGTATATTTTGTACTCTTGCCTCTGCCCTCCCCTGGGGTTCATTCCTGTTTCTGTACTAGACATGCAGAAGGAAAGGTACAAGGGTTATAATTTAATTAGGCCACAACCTTATTCATTTAACTTGTCTTGGAACTACCAACAGTAACTAATTCCATGCAGGTCAGAATTCTTCTTGTTTTGCTCCCCTCTGGGAAGAGCTGGGGTCTGATGGTCAATTTCCATCTTCCTGGGACCACAGTGTCCTCCATCATACTTTATTAAGAGGCATATTTCTTCAGTGCAGAAGCTCCAGTTGCGTTTCCCATCTACTTTAGGAGATGCCTTCTCCGAGTCCTCTTTTAATTAGGGTTCACTAAGGACCCCAGCCTCTTCCCTGCATGTAACAAGTACCTGGACTCCATATCTGTTACCAGCTATATTCATACAGCTTGATTAGAATTCCTTACTAACAAGATTATTGACTTGTGGATCAAGTGACCTGACCTTCATGGATTTAATTGTTCTCTCTCAGCTATGGAAAAGTCTCTGCTAAGAGAAAACAGCTATGGCCATGGTTTGTTCTGAGTCTTCCTACCGACTCTAACTTTAACTTTGTAGTCTTTGCTGCCCACCCAGTCTCACGAAGAGAGGTCCTGCATCTGCTTGTGATTATGGCGGTCTCCTTTGATGCTGCATCCTAGTGGCTCATGGTAGAGAGATGTAACGTATCTACCTTTCCCCATACATACATACAGCTAGGCCCATTAATTCAGGTGGTGCTTTTCAAAATCCCAAGTCCTAGATGGGACTTTTTTTTTTCCAATCCAAAGAATTTCCTTTTTGAGGTTGTAATGGTCCAAGAATGTATTCATTATAGTGATAAAATTATTGGCTTTTAAACTTTGTCATCTGAAAAGTAATGGTTCCAACATATTCATATTAAGTCTCTCTGCCTGTCTCTCTTTTTCCTAGTTGAGGTATCTTTTGCGTCAGGATTTATTTATTTTTTTTTTGCTTTAACAGTATTTCCCTGACTTCTATTACATGGAAGTAGTCTGCATTTGGTGTTTGTACATATAAAGATAATAACTAAACAGTTTATGGCAGATTGTAATTAAAAGTGATAGATCCTGAGAAGTAATCAAGCACGTGAGAACAGATGAGCAGGCTGCAGCGTATTCCAGTACTTTTAGTGGCTGGCCTGATACTAGTATATTTTATTATAGAAGGAGCAGTGGAAAAGGTGAAATAGATCAACTGATATGTTAAAATATAATATTTATTGTAAGAGATACAGGCCAGAAATGATGGGGTGCCCTTTGTCTGTTCTGATTGTATTCCTTAAATACCATATTAAAAAATGTCACCATTCAATGGTGGACTATAGTATGGATCTGTTTCCAGTTTATTTTTTAGCTCTTCCATAGCATGGGTTAATTATATTTAAGCTATCTAAACTGTTTTTAAAAATGATGGAAAGCAGGGTAGATTTGCATCATTTATAGACTAACTAAATCAGAGATGTATAGCATGAGCTTTTATAAGGAGAGGGCTGGCTTCATCAGATGCTGTGAAGGGACTACATGAAGCAGAGCTGCTAAATAGAAAGCAGTGATTAGAATACAAAGGGTAGGAAGTGGGGAGGGAAAAGGAGGGGATGCTGCTGAGAGAGGCAGAGTGGACAGGAGAGAGAAAAAGAAAGCAGTTAGCTTACTGGGGACTTCAAAAATTAATCCAGGTAATGGGATGAGAATCATACTCTTAGTTGCCATTTAAAAAAAATCAGTTTGGTTATCCTTGCTGAGAGAACCAAATTCATTGCTGTCCTATCCTGTACTTAAATCCAGTGGTTATTAGCTCATTAAGATTGTATTTTTATTTTGTATCTGGAAAAAGTACTACTTTGCTATATGTCCACCAAGTTTGTATTTGGAAGAAAAAAGAACAAGTATTCTGAGCTGCCCATTTATCACCTACTGGATTCACAGTATCCAGCATGCTACTGGGTATAATTGTATCCAAAAATATATGACATTTCTTGTTTGGATTCTGTTTCATAGGGAGGATACTATGTCATACTTTGCAAAATTCAGTGTCAGTATTAAACAGAATCCATACTATGTTAAGCATATCTTATGCTAGCCAGACATTTGCAGTCTAACAGTGAGGAGATGGCTTAATGATTTTAGAACTCTGTGCTGTAAGTTTTTCCAGTGTCATGGCATGTGTATTGCTTCTGTTTCCTTTAAAAGAACAAAATACAGACATGGCTGGTTAGGGGAGGGAGATATGCATTTTGCTGTTTTAGCTGTGTACAATATTGTTTGGTCCAGCTTCTTTCCTTTTCGTCTATTAAACCTTCTAGAAATTAAAATACAACATATGCATTTAGTGTTCCACCCCAATTTCTGCTTCAGTTAGTTACTCTTTCAACTTTTGTATTCTGTAGCTAAATCCTACATTTAACATTGTCTCTGCCCAGTTTGGAGATTCATAGATTCATAGATGTTAGGGTCGGAAGGGACCTCAATAGATCATCGAGTCCGCCCCCCTGCATAAGCAGGAAATAGTGCTGGGGCTAGATGACCCCAGCTAGATGCCTATCTAACCTCCTCTTGAAGACCCCCAGGGTAGGGGAGAGCACCACCTCCCTTGGGAGCCCGTTCCAGACCCTGGCCACTCTAACTGTGAAGAAGTTCTTCCTAATGTCCAGTCTAAATCTGCTCTCTGCTAGCTTGTGGCCATTATTTCTTGTAACCCCTGGGGGCGCCTTGGTGAATAAATACTCACCAATTCCCTTCTGTGCCCCCGTGATGAACTTGAGAGTTATTAGTGTCATTTCAAAGTCTCTATAATTACTGCTTACACTGATTTTTTTTTTTAATTTTTTTTTCTTTTCTTTTTTTTAATATTGCTGCTTCACACAAGTTCAGTTGTAGAAGACCTAACTTTATTGTTGAAGTTTCTCCAAGTAGCCTGTGTTTAGAGATCAACTTGTTCAGTGGTAACACTGAGCTTTTGTTTTCTAAACCAATTAATTTGTTTGAAGAAATTATTTCACTGCATTATACTTAGTTTGTATGTTCTCCAAATGTAATTAGCATAGTATTGCTGTTTTGCCTTTCTACACTGAGACATAACATTGTGTGCTTCCTATCATTTGGTGATCTACAGCGAAGTATGTTTAACAGAAGTTGTTAATTTGCAGCAAATCCTCTTAGTATCTAAGCCATGAAGCCTTCCATGAGATATATAAGTATGTAAAGCAGATTGCGGTACAGGGGTATAGCAAAGCAGCCCAGTTCCCATGGCAGTGGGATACATAGGCTAAGTACAAACAGTCCAAAAGCCTGAGGCTGAATTGATTCAGTCTTTGCAGGTTAGTCTAAGCTGCAGAGATTAAACTGAGAAACAATTGGACATGCATTTACTTATGATTCAAGAAATGCAGCCACATGCCTGCCGTGGCTCAGGCCAGATGCTGGGGGGCCAGGTAGCCAGCATGAGCTGTGTGTTCACTTCCTCTTCCTGCTGCCCCTAAGGTCCCTGGGATTTGCAGGCCAGAATCACAGCAACAGGACTCTGCAGGGTTGCTCATCACTTTCTCTTTCTGCTTCCCAGGTGCCTCTCAGATTTGTAGTCCACAGGTACAGCCAACAGTAAGTTTATCAGCAGGGCAGCTCTGTACTCCTGGGAAGGTGGGTTTGACCCCCCACCCTGGCCCCAGACCCCAGCCGGGGTTTTACTGGGTGTGGGGGAGGGCACATGCCTCTTCCCTCCCCCCCGACACAACCCTTCTCTGCTGGAACAGACAGCCAGGCCAGCCCAGGGCTGGAAAGCACGCTGGGGGACTGTGATTTAACTTGAAACAGGAAGGGATCTGGGACAGAAGTTTCATAAACCAGTTTGGCCCAAATCAGTCTGATAATTCATTCAACCAGGATTATTTTAAACCAGTTTCAGCCATTTTGAACCTGGTTTATGTGCACTGAACTTCTGTTACCGGTTTAAACCAGTTTCTGGTCACCTAATCCAGTTTGTGTAACTTCTGTCCGTAGCCATTGAGTGGCAACTTCCAGCTGCTGCTGTGCTACTAGTGTGATGTGTGGCTGCAGTGGCAGCTGATATTTTTCTGCCCCTTCTTGCCACCATTTCCCACCTCATGGTGGCTGCCCCAGTGGCCCCACACTAGTTATACTAGTGTTGCAGTAGCCTCACAAGAACAGCATCTTTCTTTCTTGTTATTGACAGCGAATGAGGCAATGGAAGGGAGAACACAGCCTCTTGACAGAAGTCCAGTTTAAGCTCAGATCTGCCTTCACTTTTTATTTTTCCACTTTCAAGAAGACAAATGTGATGCAAGTGGGTGTGTGGGCCTCCTAAACAGCCTGACAGCTACAAATCCTGTGTAGTGCGAAACCAAAAGGGACAAACTTGACAACTTGTTAAATCTGAATAGGATTGTACCAAAGACCTAGTCAGTTTCCATTAGCTTTCAATACTGGGAGACATGTTTGTTCTGTTTTCAAAATGTACCTTTGGAACTTAATCAGTGCCATGGCTAGAGCCTGGAGATCCCTTGAGCAGCAAAAAACTCCCCATCCTCTTGGGTACTGCCCTCCATATGGACTGTGACAGTTGTTTCATAATTTTTATCTTTGCATTCTAGTTTGTGCTTCATTACTTACTGGTTTAGGTGGTGCTGTTGCTGAAATCCGTGCACTTGTGCTTAATTAAGAAACTTGCAGCATGCTCTCATTTATTTAAATCAACAAAGATCTGCCTGTGGAACTGACTTGCCCTCAGCTCCCAGCATCCTACCAAAGAGGCCTTTAGCAAATCTACATTATTATACAGTCATCTCATAGGAAGAAAAACTGCTTGGATTTTCAAATAAGCAGCCTTTGTTTTGGATTTACCTACTTTAGGGAATAATCACTTAGCTTAACCATTCCAAACAGAAAAGCCTGAATTAAATTATTAATATTGGCCATTTCAAAAATGAGTTTTGTAGTCTTTAGAATGACAGATGTTACAAGCAATGTGGGCAAAGTTACCAGTGTTGCATTTACATATTTATACAGCTATACACTCTGGTATCCATTAATGTAAGTAAGTGGGGAATTGCATCTTGCTGCAGGAAGATGCTTCTGCTGCAAAAGATTCTGAGGTTGTTGTTTTTTAAGCTGAGATAGACCATGGTGTTTATGTGCGCCAGGCTTGTTCTGAACCTGAAAGAGAATGTCCTGCTTTGATAATATTCGATGTGAAAAATGGCCTTCTCAAACCAGTAGTAGTGCTTATAAGGATTTTTTAAATAAAATATGACTTCTCCATGGCACAACAGTGATTCTAATGCAATATTAGCGACACTATAGAAAATGACAATATCAGTTGCTAAATGTGTGTAATTCAGAAGTCAGCTGAGCGGGGTGCTTATAGATGCACTGGTGATAGCACAATATCCAAACCTGGATTTGAAAAAGAAAAAAAAAAAAAGCCTCCTCAAACTCTCATAATTTTCTTGTTGCTAGCACTGCCCCACAATATTCCAAATGAAATCTACTTTCTGTCCATTTTCTCTATCTTCAGCTTTATTTTATATGCTTATTCTTGTGCAGTTGAAGGAGCCTGACAAATCCCAGTACTTGCTGTCTAATGTTCCCTTGGTGCTATTGTTGAGTTCATACATCATTTTTTTAAAAATCCATTTTGGTAATAAGAGAAAGTGGCTTAAGCTAGGTCTATACGGCTGTTACTGCTGTAAGTAGCGTGTGGGATAGATTTGCCTGAATTAACCTTGTTACCAATGCTAGAGAGAGGCTTAATATAACCTTGATATATAGAGACCTCAGTATGGCCTGCAAAACTGCCCTGAGAAGCAGGATTAATGCTCAAGTGACTAACTTGTGCTGAGCTTCGCACTGCTGTTACACTACCTGAGCTCCCCTGTTTGTAGCTACGTTGATACGACTACATTACAGCACCATTTAAGATATTATGTTGCCTGCCTCAGACATCATTACTTGCTTCAGCTACCCAATCTGCAGTGGGGAGCCGAGTCCTACTTAAGAAAGCTGTGTACATATGCCCTTAATTTCTGTCCTGCAGGGCTGCTAATTTAGTTAAACCTCACATGTTGAGCAGTAACAGTCTACAATATTTTATTGGCTATTGAATCCGCTAAGGTCTCCAAAGAATAAATTTGGGACAGTAGCTATGACTTCACCTTGCAAATTCTAGAACAATAGTTTTCAACCCTTTTTCATTTGCAGATCTCTAAAAAAAAATTTTGAATGGCAGTGTGGACCCCAAGACATAGTCTGCAAATCTCCAGGGATCCGTGGACCATGTGTTGAAAACCACTGTTCTAGAGCACTGATTTTTAACTGGGGTACAGTGACACCCCTAGGTACTGCAAGATCTTAAGGGTGGTATGTGATATTAATACCATTAGGCATGTAAGCACTTGCATATGATTTACAAGATAAATGCAGAGATTTCAAATAAGAATCCATAATGCTATAAATGTAAGGTACTCCACCTTGGGCGGGGGCGGGGAACCTGCAGCATACTTATAGGCTCTGCAGTCCTATGCTTGCTAGCACCACTGCTGAAAGAGACTTGGGAGTCGGGGTTGACCACAAGATGAACATGAGCCACCAATGCGATGTTGCAACTGGTAAAGCAAACAAAACTGTGGCTTGCATCTATAGATGCTTCTGAAGTAAACCTCAGGATGTCATCTTCCTGCTGTACTGGGCCTTGTTGAGGCCACAGCTAGAGTACTGCATCCAATTCTGGGCTCCGCAATCGAGAAGGATGTTGAGAAGCTTGAGAGAGTCTAGAGGCAAGCCACGCACATGATCAGAGGGCAAGAGAATAGGCTCTATGAAGAGAGGCTGAGAGCCATGGGACTTTTCAGTTTGGAAAAGTGCAGGCTCAGGGGGGACCTGGTGGCTGCTTATAAGTGCATAAGGGGTATGCATCAGGGTTTCGGAGAATGTCTGTTCACCAGAGCACCCCCAAGGAAAAACAAGGACCAACAGTCGTAAACTCCTACCAGACTGTTTTAGTCGGGACATAAGAAAAAAATTTATTTACTGGCTAAGTCCCCAAGACCTGGAATAGACTGCCTCTAGAAGTGGTGCAGACACCTACTCTGGACTCATTCAAGAAATACTTGGATGCTTATCTTGCTGGGATCCTTTGCTCATAGCTGACTCCCTGCCCCTGGGGCAGGGGGCTGGATTTGGTAATCTTCAAGGTCCTTTCCAACCCTAACGTCTATGAAATCTATGAAATGACAAAAACATTCTCATATGTTGCGATCTTGCCAAATTCTTTGCAATAGAGGAATTGCTCTCGTATTTTTTCCATAGTCAAAAGATGAATGAAAGCTAAGAGGTGGTGTTTTCTGAGGGATGTTTCAAGTCTAATGAGGTTGAAAACCACTGTTCTACATTGTCATTAACTAACTGAGAAAAATTAGTTGTACTACATGGAAATAAGTTATATCTCCAAAAGAAAAGAGCCTACTAACACGTGCAGTTGATAAACATTTAAAATGAAAGTATTTGCAGAAAATCAACCTTGTTTTTTGCATGATGATGTGTAGAAGGAAATTTTACAAAAACTAAGTTCATTAGTGTTGTAAGCTGTTACCTTGGAATGTGAAAACAACTACAAAGACTTATTGCTTCCAGTCAATAAGAAAAAAGGAATATACAAAGTCTTTGATTTGTATTCATTCAGTATATTCTCTCATACAACATAATTTTACCTAATACAGAAGTGCTCAAACTTTGCAATATATCCTGAAAGGCCCCTGTGCTGTTTTTGACTGTTTTTCTCCTCTAGCAGTGCCATAGATTTTTATTTGAGGTTTTTGTACATGGTGCAGCCAAAATAATTGCTGTTCGGCAGCATTGTTTTTGAGGGTTAGTCTGTTTTTTGAAGCCTGGGTATATAGCACTATAACAATATGCTGTCATAATTAGTGTGTTGATTCTTTTTTGAGTTGACTCTTTTATGGTGTGGGTTGTTTGTTTGCGTGTTTTGCAACTCAGCACTTAACCATTTATTTTTAAATACATAGGAATTCAAATTTTGAATGGCTTTTAAAAGGAAAACCATAAGGAATTCAAAAGCCTTGAAGGTTGCTTTGGGGAAAGAGAAGAATCTTGCAACCCTTTTCTGTTCTACAAATTAATTCATCATTACTAGGAAATTTACTGTATAATATAGTATATGGTAAATCAGTTTTTGTGCAACAGTTTTAATCTCACTTTTAAGGCTGACTGTCTACCTGCAAGGGATTTAAGTATACAAAATTATCTCAAGAGTCTCAAGTGAATTGCATACAGGAAACTTCTTTTAATAGCATCTATGCTAATTAAATACCAAATATTTTGGGATTAATTACCGTATTTGCCCAAATATAAGGTAAGAGGCCCCCTCCCTCCTCCAGTCAGCATGGGGGGGAAAAAGCCCCCATGTCTTAGGTTTGCATATGAATCAGAGTGGGGAGCAGGCAGCTGCTACAGCTCTGACTGTGGCCCAGAGCCCAGGTCAGGGCCCAAAATAGATCCACAGCAAACTTCTGCCCCCGTCCCTCTTTGTTGCGCCTCCCCCCACCCCCCGCTTCCCTGAGACTGGGGAGTTGGGAGGAAGGGGCAGAGACTGGTGAAGCTGGGGACAGGGAAGGAGGAAGAGATTGGAGGGTGGGGAAGAGGAAAGTGGGGGTGAAGGGTGTAGGTGGCAAGAGGGGGCAAGAAGGCTGAAGGGGGAAGTAGTGGGTGGGGCAGAGCACAAGGGGAGTACCTGAGCTCACCCAGCCACTGCTTTCCCTGCTCTCACAGGGATTCAAGACAATCCTCCAGTACTTAGATTCTGTACCTGGAAAATTCTAACAATTATAAAATTTCCATATATATAGAATTTAATTATGGGGGGTGTCTTATAGTCAAGTAACTGCCCTTTTGAAAAATGGCAATTGTTAAGAAAAGTGAAAAGAACTTTCTAGGTGATCCTTGAAAAAGGACCGGTGGTGTTTAGACTGTGTGTGCATACAGGCTCTTTCATTCCAGGGGCACTGTAAAAGTTTAGATTTTTAGCACCTATCCATCAGAAACTTACCATACTGGACAGTGGTACCCTCAAGCATGTGGAGCTGCTCTGTGGGTACCTCCTGAACTAGAAGCCACAGTTCTGCTGTACTGCGTGGAGGCTTATTAACAGCAATTGAACGATGCAGTATGCAGTTTTGTCTTTTCTGTTGATAGGCTGTGCATTTCCTTGGCTGTAGTCACCCTTCTCTCTCAACTCTTTCCGCTTGAGTTCCTCTCTTGACCACGGATGACAAGAGCGGTACACAGTATATCAGATAAAGTCCTACCAGCACTTTGTACAATGAGAGCAGTGCCTCCCAGTCTCTGCTCCACATACCTCTACCAGTCCATTCCAACTTTGCATTTGCCCTGTTTCAAGGTTGCATGCTATGAGCAGCTGAGTCTTCTGCGATCCAGTGGTATACGCAGAAATGGCTATGCTCATTCCGTAAGCGAAACACATTGTGAAGTACACCCTGTAATGTGACATTGCAACCGCATGCAAAAATCTCCATCCTTCAGAGCATTCTCCTCCATAAGGGTGAGCATCGGCTTTGTGCAGGTGCAAACATCCAGGTGAGAGCCGGCCACTAAATACATAGCCAAAGTTATCAGTTAGGGAAAGAAAATCCTTTTGCTTAGCCATTGGGCATTTTAATAATAAAAATGTGTGGAAAAGAATTGCAATTGGTGTATCTGTGCCTTGTGGAAACTCAGCACAAGGGTATAAAAATACGGGAATTTAAAAATCCTTGCTTACATTTTCTTACTCAACTCTGGAATCCTTTAAGGTTTCTTTCAAGCTTTTTTTTTCTTGTAAGCATACACCAAGCATAAAGAAATATACTTCAAATTGTGTTATTCTCGTAGTTATATAAGGAATTTAACAAAGAATATTTTATGTTACAAGGTAGAGGGTTTTCATCAGTGTTGGAAACTGACTATGGTTTGGGCAAGTTCAGTTAGTCAGCGCTTAAACATAGTTCAACTTTTTTTCGGTGTCTAAAATTGTGTGGAAGTTTCACATGAAACAAGGCACTGTAAAGATTATCACCTCTGTTTCTTTCATTGCAGATAAGTGCGTGCCTTTCAGAGAGAGAATTTAATCTTAGCTACAGAAGAAGAATGTTACCTGGAAGGAATAAGAAGCCAATATATTTCCAGGGTTTGGGGGAGGGCTGGAGGGAGGAAGAGATGATGGTGATGGGTATTTAAACTGTGTATATTATGACATCCCTCATTTGTTGCAATAAATACTGTAACAATTTGTTGTACCTTTTTGTATATATAGAATACTTTAAATTCAAAGCTTATGGAAAGTGTGTGCACTATTTGGAAACAGTTGCCTGTTTTTACCCTTTTAAAACAGGGTGTTTTCTGCTTGTTTTATTCCTTATTTACCATACTGATGGTATACCCTTTTCTACAGTAATCTGGAATATGTTCATTAATTTTTTGCCAATGTAAAATTAAGTAAATCAACGTGAAATCAACACGTCAGTTCTCTAGTAGTGCTCAAATTCGGGTTTTATTTGGGATGCTTTCCTCTTCAAAAGAATATGCCAAACTACTGCCTTGTGTGATTTTTTTTTAAGAGTATTTTTAACTAAATGAATGTGAGTTGTTGTATGTAAACATTATTTAAAACTGTATGGAAGTGTACAAATAAAACGTTTTACAACATTCCTACACATTTTGTATGATACTTCTTTATATGTAGGTGTTTGCAGTAACTTTCCTGTAGTAGATTATCCCAGAGTTGAGCTTACCTTTTATCATGAGGTAAGGGTGTGCGCGCACAGAGTAAAAAGGTATCCCCACCCTTGTTTACCTTGCTGTGCATGTAGTCTCCTTTTGCTGCTTTGGTAAGGATAGGTGCCCCCTATTCCTATGAGTAACTTTTCTTCTCATAGCTGGATAGTACTTGCTAATTGTAGTCTAAATAGTGATTCCTAAGACTTTTTCCTCATGTTTATGGAGTTGTTGACTGTAAACATATAGAAGTCTCCAGGTTTCAAGCAGCATACATCTTCCTTCTTAAAAGCTGTTATAGCTGCTAATGGTAGGTGCTGGGAGAAGAGCTACAGTGTGGAGGGAGGGAGGCTAGTGCCACCCCAAAATTCACTGTAGCCCCTGCTTCCCAGTACTGCTGCAACCCAGCTCGCCTGGCCTGGCCCAAGCACAGCCACCGGGAAGAGGCTGGCACGGACCCAACCCTGAGCGCACAGCAGGCAGCCCACCTTCACCCCATGCGCAGATCTAGGGGGCATATACCTCACCATGCCTCCCCCAGGAGCTTCCCCCCCCCAGCCCTGCACCCCCTGGATAAGCCACTGACTCTATCCCAGGCCCTGCCCCATCCCGGCTGAGCATTGCCAGCCCCTACCCCAGCCCCACCCCTACTACCTCCCTCCTTCCCTCACCACAGGGGCATCGATCTGCCCTCCCCATGCCCCTCACCCCCAGATTTACCGGCCAGATGCTACTCTCCAAGCTGCTGGGCTGCATTCCTGGTCATGGGCACGTGATGGTTGCACGCATGCATTGGTAGACTGATCTACAGGTGTTAACCGCACCATCACCTTTTCATTAGTTGAAGGCTATTATCGCAGCACCGTGGCCAGCTCCTTGTTATCCATGCCCAGATCCTGGCCCTTCCCATCAAGGAATGGCTAAATTGACTAGTCTTTTGGAAAAAGGTTATTCTAAAGAAGTCCAGAACATCCTCATCAAAAGCAGGAAAAAGCGTCTGTCAGGGCACTGTCTGTCTTGTAAAATGGAAGGGCTTTTCAGTATAGGCACTAACAATCTAGTTGTTCCTCATTCAAATGGACATCCAGGTTTTGCAGTATTTGTTGTATTTAAAGGATTTTGGACTATTTAGTATGTGCAGTTACAGTCTATTTAGCTGCATCATTCAGGTGATTCACTTTACTCATCCTACGGTGGGAAGATTTCTTAAATCATCAGTGTGCGATATCATTCTATCATGGGCTCTAACCATAGTTCGCTCTTGATGCATATGACCACTGCTTGGACCTATGCTTTATGTTCTCTTCTGCATAAGTGTTTACACTTAAGTGTTTACACTTATGCAGAAGTGCATACTTATGCAACACTTATTCTCTTCTGAATAAGTGTTTCAGGCATTTATGGCTGCTCTGCCAAGGAAATGCGTCCCAAGGAAATGTGGAACAGATCCTATTCTACCTTGCTTGAGTCCCTAAAAAATTGTTGACACCTTTGTAATGCACTGAATGCATCTACACATGTGCTTAACTGTGCAGTAGAATTATCTGCTGCCATGTAAATTGTCAGTCTACATGTATGATGCTATTAGACCCCAGCAAACTAATTTTTGCCACTGTAAGGTAGTACTGTCTGGAATCATACCATCTTATGGCAGCAAAAATAACACCCTAAACACACATGTAAACGCTGACCTAGGCATACATTATGCCCAGGCAGCAGGGGCACAGACCCCTGCCTACTGCCTAGCCACACAGCTCTGTTCTTTGGGTACGTTCATGTCCCAGCCAGCCCTTCTGCTTCCCAACACCATGACCTCGAGCCCTGAGGCTGACCCCCAAGCCTGCTGCCAGCCCAGGGCTGCTCCACCATGCTGCAGTCCTAGGTATACATGTAGATACTGCACCTGGAAGCTATTAACTCTGGTATGAACTGCATTGAAGTTTCACACTGCACTAACTGAACATGTAAATGCACCCACTGTCACCTTAACCTTAAGACTAAGTTACAAAAAGCAGTGAGGAGAGCCCTCTTGCTTCTTGTATTCATGGGTTTTCAGAGACCCAAGCAGCTTGGAACAGGATCGCACTTACATGTCTAAAGGGCAGATGGGTTCTGGCCAGGGGCTGTTTCGGGTTGCATCCAAAATCATTTTAGATTTTCATTTGAATCTGAAAATTGCTATCAATCAACTGTAAAGATGTGTGAAAGTTTTATTCATTAGATTTTGCAGAACCATATCCCTTTCTGCTGATAGGCTGCCTCACCAAGGCTTTTCATTTTACGTGTAGAAAAAATGAAATGATAAGCAGCAGTATCAGATCAGCAAATATCCAACTAGTTTACATCTTGCATAAACAATTGCTACATTATAGCTAGCAAACCCTTAGTAACACCTGCACATTGTACTAGAGCACAGGCTGTTTTGGCAGCTTTTATAAAAAATGTTCCTGTTACAGACATGTGGGTCTTTGCTACTTCGTTTTAAAGAAATCTATATCTACAGTTGGTAGATCAGTGATGTTTTTAAGAAGTGCTGTAGCCCTTCAAGTCCATAAGTCCCCAGATCTCCACATCTTTGGAGAAGTTGTCATCAGTATTCTGCTTTGAAAGAACTGCTTGTTGGAGGTGTCAAAAACCCTTTAATGCCCTTATCTAAGAGCATCAGGAGGTGCCGAGGTCATGCATATCTAACGCAGCTGATAGCACAAATCTGACTTGGGTGCAGTTGGGTGCACACAAACCTACTGAGGAATCTGTATGTGCATAATGCATTTCAAAAAACCTGTGATTACTATGCAGATCTGTAACTGTCATTTGCCCACCCCAGCAGCAACATCCATCACTCAGCTGCATCTAACAGAGATGCACTTGGCTCATTGTGCTAAAATCTGCATCAATCAAATAGTTAAGAAGAATGACACTTGCCCTTGGGCAGAATGCTCGCCCTCTTGAGATAAAGAGGGCAGTTCAGAACTCCTCGCTGTTATATTATGCTGTCTGTTTGATGACTTAGAAAGATGGTGCTTCATCAATTGGCATTCAGTTCACTTTTTGAAGGGATAGAGACTTTGTTGTTTTTTCCCCCTCAAATGAATGTTTAGGTGCCTAATTAGCATCTGTTTCTGAATAGCAATGCTTTCCTGAATTGGAGCCTTAAATCTAAGAACACTGTCCTATGGTATGGGGTAGATTCTACACCAAATTCTTGATATGCAGAAAATAAAAGGTGCTACTGAAGGTAAATGCAGATAAGAAATGTTCTTAGACTTGTAGATAGAAGCATCACACTGTTTACCTGCTAGAATAAGATTTTAATTGGTTACCTTGACAACTAGTCCTCCTTTAGTTTAGGCGGAAGGAGGAAAAAATCTTTAAACTCATTTTAATGTAAGCTCCAAGGAAAAGATAGTTAAAATAGCCTGTCTGAAAAAACAAAAAACAACTTGTTAATGATAAAATGTGTTGCTCCTTATTTCACTATTTAAACAGAAATTGTTTTGCTTCCCATCTGTCATCAGTGGCTAGGAAATTCAAATGTTTTTGCTCACTCTCAAACACTGTAAATATTGTGCTGCCCATTTGTTTCAGTTGCTAACTTATTTAAACCTCCAGCATTGTTCTAAAACACTGTCTTTTGCATTTATTTTTCAAAATGCTCTTGTTTGGTTTAGTTCTATTCACTTTTCAAATCATGAATGACCAAAATTCTGATTCAAAGCTGGTGGATGCAAAATTAAAATGTCTTTCCTGAGTCAAAGTCCAGCCACCTCCTTTTGCTGCACTGCAGTTGTCACTACTCTGTCACATCAGCTTCTGCTTTGAGTGCAAGTGACGTTATCACTCTGTAGTATAGCTGCTATACTGAATACACTGTACGATGAAGCACGAGATTTCCCTTGAATGCAAAAAGCCAGAGTGCCATTCTGTTCAAACACTGAGGATTACCTTTTGTTTCTTTTTTTGCAGTGAAAAATCATCTCAGTTTTGAATAACATGCATGCTATTTTTGTTTAATGGAGAAGTTCAACAAAAGTGACCCTGTACGTACCATAAAAACTTCCATGTCTCCAGCTTAAACATGCAGACATTTTTTGTCTCTAAATCTGGCTAAATGAGAGGTACAGCGGTCTGAGGCTTCTATTTCATAAATTCTTTAGGTGGATTGTGTTAGTAGAATGCAACAAATTGACAACCTTGCAAGCCGAAGTTCTCTGCACAGAAAGGACCAGCGGCAGCTTCCCACAACTATATCATAGATTCATAGATGTTAGGGTCGGAAGGGACCTCAATAGATCATCGAGTCCGACCCCCTGCATAAGCAGGAAAACCCTGGCCACTCTAACTGTGAAGAAGTTCTTCCTAATGTCCAGTCTAAATCTTCTCTCTGCTAGCTTGTGGCCATTATTTCTTGTAACCCCCGGGGGCGCCTTGGTGAATAAATACTCACCAATTCCCATCTGTGCCCCCGTGATGAACTTATAGGCAGCCACAAGGTCGCCTCTCAACCTTCTCTTGCGGAGGCTGAAAAGGTCCAGTTTCTCTAGTCTCTCCTTGTAGGGCTTGGTCTGTAGGCCCTTAACCACACGAGTGGCCCTTCTCTGGACCTTCTCCAGGTTATCATAACTGAAGGACCCATTTCTAAGGGTAAGCAGGTGGTTTAAGCTCTATAAATGTCAGAGAACCTTGCCTGCCAGTCTCCGGCTTTCATTTTGAGATCATCAACCAGTGTGCCACTGGATGTGTTTGGTGGTTTCCTCTTGACAAGAAAAAATTGTCTACACAGCAAACTAGTCCAAGACATCCAAACTCAGTTTGCCTATATGTAGCCACAAGCAGGCATCAGATAATAGCATTTCCATTGTCTGTCTAGTCTTGATTCGATCTGGTAACTTACCCATGAAAGAAAGCCTTTATATGTTTTTACCAGTCTCTGATAA